TCGATTATTGGGATTAAATGAAACGACTGAAACCATTATACATTCTGATTTCGGTTCTGGCCAAATGAACTCGTTATAAAGGTATTTTCAATGTCACATGGTAGGCATTGAATTAATGATGATGGGAAGGCAGCGGTGCATACAATGTTTCCTTTTGTATTTACGTAAATTATCCCCAGTTCAGCGCTGCGTGCAAGGCAAAGCAAATGATTGCCGAATCTTTCAATTTTACCGTTTTCGTCGTCGTAATTGCAACTCGTGGTCTTGTGTTTATAAATGTAAACACCACAGTTGTGGAAAGCACTTCCTAAACCGAGGCTGAAGGTCAAGTGTATTTATAAACACACTCTAACTCATACGATTACCTGACGGTTGGAGTGCTCCTGTTCGACCGCTATTGTCGAATCCTTGTTTTCGGGGACGGGGTCGGTTAATTATCGATGTCTTCCGAGTAGGCGTACTTATACTGCAAACTTGATGACGTGATATACAGTCAAGTGTGTATTTCTCTAAGAAATGAACATCAGATATCAAGATGATAAACGCAATATTGTCGGAGAACACAAAACAAAGCAATAAAAATCGTAAAAGAATTAAAATCAACAATATTATACATCAAAAATTAGTTTAAATACAAATCTTGTTTTGTACAATGATTCATTTTTTTCTCCCAGTCACAGTCTCAATATTTTTGAACTCATAGGGAATAATTTTAAATAAGTTAATTCTTTTATAAATGTGTTCTTGTGGAGCACCCTTGACTTATAAACTGGGAATTTCACAATCATCAATTCCACATATAGTTATTTTCACAGAACAATTGAGTATTAGTGACAGATGATTTTCAACATTTGATCTGCAAATATTCCGTTCAAATCCAGAGTGCTGCTCAACAAAAACATATGTACCCAAGTAAACGAACATTTTTTTTTGAAGAAAGACACTAGTAAACAAAACAGAGTGCTCTCCTCTTGCAAATGCTGACAAAACACAATATTTTACTAGTAAATGATTTCAAAAGATTTCGAACATTAACGCTGCGTTATCGAAAGCATTACATTTAAATATGAAGTATTTTGTTTCTGAATATGACGAGAATTTCGATCGGCTTCTTTTACTTTACGCATTTCAACATTTTCATTTCATTTCTACGGTGTTCCGTGATGTGATTGATGAGACATGCGCTCGACTGACACGCAAACGGAAAATAGTCTTCATCTTATATCATCATGCTCAGACATCAACGTCGCAATCTTGGCATCGAGCTTCAAAGGAAACATCCGCGTGGCAAAGTGGGTGTGCGTGTATATAATACAATTTTTAAGAAATGGAAAAATGCATCTGCCACACGCAAAACCTCAAGCTGGAAATTCAAAAGATAAACAAGCCTGTTGAGGTGAAAACGGACACCACGAACACTGTGTCGTGTTGGTCCTAAAGGGTTACTGAGTGCTGGCGGCCAATCCACTCGTGCGCCTTATCCCCGGCATCGCACTTAGCAACAGGTGTGTCAGAATCTTCAATGAACTAGGGAGTTAATTTCCGCTTCGGTTTATAATTTCAAGGAAGCTCCGTGGCCATTCTCTTTTATGTACATGTGCAACGACATAAAGTCAATATTACCAATGAAAAGCGGGCATCGTTGACATACAAACCTTAGTCAGTGTAAAGGTGGCGTACATATCTTCAGCAGAGCGCTAGCACCGTATGGATACTGGTTGAATCGAACTCTGTGATCCACTAGTTCGGGAAGACAGAAGTCTCATCTTTTGCTCCCGTCGCTGTTTATACAAACCACGTACGGGGAAATTTCGAGTTTGGCTGGACAGAACACAGGTATGCGTACCCTTCATTATAGTAGAACACGTGGCTGGTGTACATGTTAAACGATTGCTATTACGTTTTTTTCTTTTTTTTGCCTTCTACTCTTTGATGTATCATGGTTTTTGCGTGGATGCGTGTGTGCTTCCGTACGCGTGTGTGTGTGGTTTTCGTGTGTACTATTCTTGAAACACCCTTCCTCACGAAACACATTGTACAGCGACGCAGGATTTCAGATCTATGGTCACCTGAGTGGATTTGGTCATTTTAAAGTAAACAATTAGGTGTAGGTGATGACAAAGTCCCTGTCTGACTCTAGAATCTTGAAACGTATTACTCTGAAATTATTTGTTGGTATGTCCGAAAAATCGCAAACACGTTGGCGAGAGAATTGAATACACCTCGTACTAGTAGATGTTCTATTTTAGAGCTGTTACGCGCGTTCATTTGTTCCAGGCTCTACTACAAACTTACTACCGTTTCATACACCCAGGGCTTCAACAGTTACAAATCATCTCCAATTACGAGCTGTGTTCACATCTCCGAGCGGAGACACGTCACGTGTTCGACGTCGTGGAACCAAAATGGCCCTCAGCCACCCATAAATCGTACATCATAATAAGGAATTTAAATTGTCAGCCATTTTGAATCGACGAAGAGATCAAAAATGACGTGCAGAAAGTCGGGTCGAGTTTGCAACAAGTTTGAAGATGCTCTGTTATAAAAAGAACACAGAAACCTCTATAGTATATCCACCACTTGATTGAATGTATAATCCATTGTGTTGCTTTGTCATATTCAATCCGTAATATAAGTCACTTCATCACAAAGTCGCAAATAAAAACAAATGAAAATATGACGATTGCCACAGTTGTGGGCTCCGATTTTTTTCAATCAGGTCCCTAAACAAAATGGCGCGCATTAGTAAACATTTACCCGCTGTATTGAAACAAAGACATGAGATCGCTGTTCAGTAAAGGGAATAGGAAGCGATCACAAGACAAGCTGGCGAATACAGGAAAATCATTATAATTTTTGTTCTTAATGCATTTTGAAGAAATGTTTTCAAATGCACCCACATAATACAGGAACCACAATAATAGCCCTTAACCCGGACTCATACGATACTTTTATTATCCAAAAAGTCTTGGCTATAAACTGTTGAAATTTTGTAGAATTGTGCATAGCGGAACATACTCAAAAAAACGATTTCAAAATATAGATAACAGTTGCAAAATTATCTCTTTTGAATGCTTAGCAAGATTTAGCAAGGCTGTACATAAATAATAAAAAAACATGGTGAAAAAAAGAAATGACGGGATCTCCATATTATGCACTGTATTTAACTTTTTACAAAACGATAATACATTTAAATTTGAAACTGTAACAACCATTTTAATTATGAGCATTAGCAAACTTCTTACTGAGTGAATTGTTATGCAAATTAGCAATTATCACAGCTTCTTTTTTAGAGCACATTCAAGAACTTTAAAAACAAATAGCTCCTAGACGCTTTGAGCTTTTGTTTTGAAATTTTCACAAATGATTGACAATGTGTTTATCTTCAAAACGCCGTCGGGGCATTGTTTTTAGTTGAATAGTGTTACAGCAATCGTACAGACAACTAGCCTGGGTGTTAATTTATGCATAAACTTGAAGTAGTGAAATTTGAGCTGCTGCCCTGCAAAATTGACAACTGGTAGACAGTTTTCAAGACGGCGCTTTCTTTTTAGTAAACAGATGTACGCAAAAAATAATTTTGACAGGAAACATAAGCATGGTTTAGAAGCTATTTTTTTTAAAATCACTTTAACCAAAAAAGCACATTTTTGTGCATATTTCAAACTACAGTGTCCATAAAAATAAAATACTAACAAAACTTTAAAATTCATACAATAAGCTTTCCGAAAATATATAGTTTTGTGGACAAGGGAGGTCATCTTGGTTTCTTAATTAACTAATTAAAATACCTGTCAGGTAAACTGCATCTCTACCTTAATTATAGCATATAAGATAGTAAAGACAGTTGCCTCCCGGCTTTAGAAACTAAACAACTAATCTTTAATACATGGGGTCTATGTTCTTTGGATGGAATCGATGTTTGTGCCAAATCTTTGAAAAATTGAAATTGCGCCAAAAATAGAACGACACTTGCTCTCTTAAATTAAACATTGGTTCATCGACTCGTATACTGTTCAAATATACATCACTTTAACAAATAAACCCACATTGATGAATAGTGTGACTATTTGACGCATGCGCACTCGCCCTAGATGCTGGATGGTAATGATGGCGCCTACGTGTCTTTGGGTGAAATTCATATGTTAACGCCAAAACTAAGTTGACATTTCGCCAAAAGCTACTACTCCTATCACGAGGGAAGAAACATTAACTAAATATCTGCAACCACACTTGCGCTCTTAAAATAAAGCATAATTCATTGACACAGATATTGTTAAGATACAAATGAGTTCAACAAGTAAACCCCAATATCTTGTGAATTGTGTAACTTTTCTGCGCAGACGCAGTACGAAGTACGTACGTAGAAGTTCTGCGTCACACTGTTCTATCATTCTATTTTAAACAAAACTGAGCGGACAGTCATTTAACACAAATCGCTTCATTTCCCGCCTTTTCCTAATCCACTTTCATAGCAGTTTTCAAACAGATAGTTAATAATAATTTCGACAGATTATGAAAATAATCTAAAACACAAAGTTAAAATGAAGCCATTTGTCGATCTTCAATAAAGGAAATTTTGTAATAATTGTTCTCAATTGTTCAATAGAAAAAAAACAGTCTCGTCGATTACAGCCCATTCAAACGAGTGATATGTAGAAATAAACATACATACATGCAATGTTTCAGTAATATGCAAATTATTTAAATTGTCTCAGTGTATCGTAACACTCCACTTACGTAGGTGGTTGTTGTGCTTGTATATGTAAATTTGGACTCACAAAATTACGTTATTTCTAATATCATTGATTTAATACTAGTATTGGTATTTCCGTGACATTTACATACGTGACATTTACATACGAATAGCCATACACATATGACTGTGTGCACATCTAGTCCATTTCACACATACACTTATTATCGAGTAAATATCATCTTCTATAATTGATTTCTAATGTTGTCTAGCATAATCATACTTATTGATTCAGTATTGATTAGGTCAGATGCTACAAAAATTATAGCATTCGCGATACTGTGGATATTCTACTGTTTTCTAATTGATTCGCCATCGAAGACTTTGGATAAGATTTGGATACACTAGAACCGATTTTCAATTCCAGTAAACTTCGAAAAGCTATACACGACGTCGGTAAAATACTAGGCGATACTTTCTATACAATGCTGCGTAATAGTTGATATCGTATTATTGCCTAATACCTCATCTCGACGGAAGCGACATTCCTTAGATAGCACAATATGTAATATATATGTTACATAAGTAATACATACATAAGCATTAACGTCGCCCCTGGCTTTCTGATTTGGGCAGCACTATCACAACCCCTTTAAGATTGAGATAGACTTATAAAATTTAAACCCTGAAATAACAGACACATTTCGGAATCTGCAGTTTGAATGTGAAAAACAATATGCAAATATACATAAAGAGGGACTGTTCGTGCTATTTTGAGAAGAAATTAGATATTTTATACTAAAGTATACGACGAGAAAATAACATCGTCACGATCGTTAATGTCGGCCACTGGATTGCGCATTAGAAATTTGTACACCAATTCGTGCCAAAAAAGTTGTTTGTTAGAAGAAAACGGTCGTATAATTTTGTTTTGATGTTGTCGTCAAATTAATCGCTTTCCGTCGAGAACGTTATATAGTGTGACTGTGTTTCTTTTTCCCAAGTCGCGCTTTATGTTTGAATATTTTTTTTCTATGATAAAAGCGAGTGACGAATAAGGACATAACACATAAAGCTTTGCAATCCTTATTTCTGCAAAATCCGTGTAGATTTTTTACATCACAAAAGAAAAATTTAGCAACTTTTAAAGCTTGACGATCATCACAACGCGTCGTGTTGCACGAAGACGAAAGATTACTTCAAAGTTGAGTTTGTGATGTTTTTGTCGACTGTAACTGTTTTCACCGGCTCTTCGAGCGGCGTTCCACAGCAGCTTGCGCAGAGCCCAAAGAAATACATGGTACAGTGGCGCGCGTCTTGGCAACTTAGAGCGTTCTATGACGGAGCGCGACACAGCGCGACGACTCAGAAGCTTTGCCATTGAAAACATACAAGTGCATGGTGGAGCAACGATGACGTAGTCGGTATGTGGTGGCTCCAGCGTCATTAGTGTCGATGACCGTTATTGACCGGAGACGTCAACTCTAAAAATAATACTAAGCGTAATAACCTTGTGAGTCAAACACGTACCAGGCATGACGATCACGTGACACCATGGAACTATCTTTTCCATTGAAAGTTTGAAATTATCGGTTATCACGTGACTGTGTCGACTATAAGTAACACAGTCGTTCGGTTATCACGGAAAGATCTCGATGCCCGCGCGACAAGTCCAATCTGAAATAGTAGCACAATTCGCGTTACTAGGCAACAACGGAATTATTTGTGAGAGCGAAGTTAGATACGTTCATTTGATTAGTACATTACCGGGGTTACCTGACGGGGGGGGGGGTTAATTCAACGTGTATGCGCATTAAGATATTATAATAGCATATTTACGATTCATAAACCAAGTATTGTTTACACTAATGACGAATATGTGCCGAGGTAATTAGTATTGTTTACCGGTGACAATGTGGTGATAGTCAAAACTACTTTTTAGTAATTGACCTGTTAGTGATCGATTGTTTTAATCCAGTTGACGTGATTTCGTTCGGATGAGAATTAAAGCATTCGTCGCATATCGCTTTTCACATATATCAATGCTGCCACAGTGCGTTGTGCCAGTTTTACAAGCGTGGCGATATTTTGCAGAATTTTATCCACACCAAGCCAAATATCATAATCATTTTTTGACACG